AAAGATCGTAGACCACCAGAGAGCAAATTGTCCGAGATTCTTTGTGGGGAGGAGGTTGGTGTATTAATCTGAAAAGTACTATTTACATTTTGTAAATGTCATATGATTACAAAATATAAAAGAGGAGATGTTTTTCTAAGGGTAAACATTTTATAGTTTCTCTTATGTTTACGTTTTACCTCAAAAATCTTTGAAATAAGCATTCACGCTCAGCCAGATTTTCAGGAGGGGCAAAAATTGAAGTAAAATCTATCCCGTGCGATGGATGCTTTTGGGCTTTCTGCGGCGAGGTATAGACGTCTTACAAAAATCTTATTTTCTTTTACTACTTCCGCAAAATGGGATAAAAATATTGCAAAATCAAATGAAAGATGCTCTCACCTTCAGCTCTTATGAATTGAGCGATGCGACTGAATTAATTTTACTTCATGATAAACTTTTATTCCTAGGCCAACACAAGTGACGTTAAATTAAATGAAGGCTGGTTCTAGATATTTACAATTCACGACTCGTGCAACAAAATTCCGTTACAGTCCCTATTTGTGACTTCATGACACTTGCCGCAGCTACTTTCGCCCAATCATCTCTTATTGACCAAATGTCGGGCAGAGCGTAGAGAAACGCGACGTTTAGGAATAGGTAAATTCTAAATCCGACTGTTTTCAATCTTGACATGATGATGACAACTTTTTCTTGTTATGCTGAGTTTACGCCAAGATGATAACACTTCTTTATTCGGCCAACGTTTCGGCGTTATCGCCTTCGTCAGAGCCTGGAAAGTCGAACACATTAATAAACCATCCATTCAGACGCCAACGTCATGACTCAAAATAATTAATTGGAAAACACGAACCAAATACTCAACCATAGCCACACTTTAGAGAAGCACAAGTTGGACCTATACCCCCAACTTATACTTCTCTAAGGTGAGTGTGGCTATGCGTGACTCTGGTTGAGTCTTTGGTTCGTATTTTCCAATTAAACATTATCTTGAGTCATGACCTGGAATCTAAATAGATGGTTTATTAATGTGTTCGACACACATGCGTGGATATCCTCGCCATGCATGTTCGAGCTGTGGCGCGAATGCGGGGCACTAACGCAGGCGTGAACTTAGATGTTGCAAGCAAATCCTCGAATAAGAAGGTAGAAGGGGGGAGTAGTGGAGGATGTGCGGACGAAGAAAAAGGAGGGGGGAGGGGGAAGGAGAAGAGGGAAGAGGGGTAGGGGGAGCATGGTTAGTGTTCCATCAGAAGGTGCTTTTTTGGCGATTCTGGTTTCAAGATTTTATATCACATCACTAATTTTGGTTTTCCTTCTAAGAAAGATACAGATAGATGGGTTTTTAGGTTGTCTTGATCTCAAATTGAATTGTCTTTAGCATACAGAGGCAACGTAAATTTGTTCACCTCTGCTCTGGATAGAACTCCCGACTGTTCCGACACTTTTAAGGCACCGAGGCCGATTGTAGCTGCACCGCGGTATGATCGAACCGTCCTTAAGCAATCAAGTCTCAAAATGGTCTGCATTTCGACCACAAAAGCGACTTACCTCTGGTGGTCTTGTCCAAGCACGATGCTATAGTCGATCCACGGTTCTTCCTTTGTTTTCGAAGTCTTCGTTGACTAAAATGGACAAAAGCTGTCATTGGGAAGAAAGCAATTAGCTACGGAAATATCAGGGTTTGTTAAGGAGGTTTTCCGACGCAAGATGTCCCAATTAGAATGTTATTGGAAGCTTGTCAACGAACAAACAAGTATATAAGGCCTCCTACCGATTGTTGTGAGAAGAAAGAACTAGGAGGAAGGCCCTTGCGATGCAGAAACTTCGCGTAGTCTTGCTCTACC